AGTTCCCTAGCACTCTGAGGAAGTCAGGAGTCACCATTTAAAGAAATGTATCCTTATCCTAAAGACTGACATTCTAAATAGTTCCTATCATCCTGAGGAACTCAGGAGTCCCCCTCCCAAACCCCTAAGGGAAGAGACACAGCTGCCTAAGAATGCCTGCTTTCTATGTCACTCCCTTCCCCCTTTGTTCCCAATTAAATCAACTTTACCTGAACTTATAATCTTATTGGCTACCATAACTCTGTGCCATCTTATGCCCATCTGCATTGTGAGTTCCTAGTTTTCCCCACCTTAAACTCACTTCACCACATGATTTTACTCTATAAAGGTCCCTGGAATGGACAGTGTTTGGCAACCTGCTCAGGATACCTTCTCTCTCTCAGGCAGCTTTTTTTCTCTGAATAAGTATATTCTTCTCTTAATCTCTGTTGTTCCTAAAATTCATTCTTGGACTTTACAGGACAAAAATCTAATATCAGACATAGTAGACCGGGAGATTCATTCCAGGATAACAATATCAGTATAAACTTTTCTCTTTCTTGAAGTCAGAGAAATCAGTAGTAGTTTGTATCACACATTGTTGATCTCACCATGACATGGATACTTGCATTGAAGGCTTTAACCCTGCCTTTAAGTGCTGCTTCTTTTTCTGAAACTGAACTGATCTGTAATTTTGGTTATGGTATGGACCATGCATTAAGGAATTGACTCAAAATATTTCTTATGAATGGTTTACCAACAGCCATGGAGGAAGACAGATAGCAAAAATTCTTGTTTTGATTTCTTCATTCAAACTGAAGGATGTACTTGAAAGAGCTTTGCCCTTCAAACAATTACAGGATGTCATGGTTGTAGTTCAAGGTGGAAGAATGAGAAATCAGGGACGCTTACTCATATGGCCACTTCCTCTTTTCTCCTTGAATATAACTTCCTCTTTCTTTCCCACGGGCCTAAAGAAAAATCCCATCAGCTCCTAGCATGACATCAATGTCCCCTCCAAGCATCACATCCAGTCAAAAGTCACATATACCCTATAACCCCATAGTCATTGGGGGGGGGAGCCAAACCCTTGGTGGCTGTGAGCTCCTCTCCACATTCTATAAATAAAAGGCCACTTTTACATTTCCTATATTTTGCTTCTCTATTGTGCTAATTTACCTCCTTGGTAGTCTCAGTAATATAACCCACTTTAAACCTATCTCATCACATGATTTTATTCTATAAGGTCTCTAGAAAAGACAGAGTCTTTTGGTACAGGATCAGAATCCCTCCTGTTTTTCTCAGATAGAAGCTTTCCGATAGGATTTTTGGTGTAGTAAAGAAGAGAATACAAACTCAAAATGGCCTTTATTCTAAGAATATTGGGAGAACCCTATGACCACTGGGGGTCTTGCTTTTTCTTCTGGAAATATGTGGGCAGCATACATATAGTTTTTGACTTGGGTGGTGCTTAATTAAAGGTGGCATTGCTGATATGCAAGTAGCTGATTGAGATTCTTTTCTCGCCACAGGTAGGTTGAATAGAAGAGAGGAAAGTGACTTCAAGTCCCCTGGTTCCACCTCCCAATTCCAAAATATTCTACTTAGAGCAAAATATTTTCACTTTCTATCTCTCAATAAATATATTCTGCTCTTCAACTCTGTTGTTCCTAAAATTCATTCTTGCACTTTAGAGAACACAAACTCATACCAGACATAGAATTTCAGGAATTTCATTCCATTATATCATGGTATGGTTGCCTGTATTTCTAACTAACCCAGCTGCCTCTAACTTTAAGAATTGTTTATCAATTTGACTTGGGGTAATTGTAGCAAATAAAATGTTCTTAATGGCTATAGGGAAATACATCACTAAATAGAATAAAATAATTATCACAGTTTTTCTATCTAGCATCAGCCAACATTTTCAACTTTCAAGTATGTGGGAAAACAAAAAATAAAAACAACTCAGAAAATAGCAATCCTGTAGGGGACAGTACATCATTCACTGTAATTGCCATGTTATCTGCAGGTATTTCATAGACCACAAAGGAAACATTAAGCCTATTAATTAACAAGTATCAGTTTCAAAATGTGCTCATAGCACTGCATCACTGACACCTGCGAGTTGTTTTTTTTTTTATATATGAGGGATTGAACTCATGACCTTGTGCTTTCCAGGCAGCTTCTTGTATCACTGACCTCAATCCCCAGAACCAACAACTTTAGATACAAAATATGACTATTAACAATGTTTAATTTGCCTTTGACATATTTAGTTATAAATTATGTAAATCTACATTTTCACAAATGAAATTATTTTCTTTCCTTGCAGATTAAATTACTTTTGTTTATAGGTACCAGGGATCAAAGTTACAACCTAGCACTTTCCAGGCAGATGTTTCTGCCTGCTGACCTTAAAGCCCTGGCCTGTATTAATGAATATTTTAAATGTATAAATATCACTTTATCCAATCAAATACTATTGTGATTTTAGCAAAGGATGTCAATGTAGACCGAAATTAATATACAATCATAGAGGAACTGGAACCTTCAAGAGTCAAGGCAAAAAACTAAATACAACAATCACTGCTACAGGCACAGCTGACAAAAGCCAGAACTGAAGATGAAGATGCAGTGACCTGGTCCACATGCTCCTGAAGAGAAAAACAACAGCTTGAAATGTACTAAAGTTACCACCACCTCCTCCAGGAAGTCCTGATAGGCATCAATTACCATAATCAATGATCACAACAACTGGACTATTGTTCCCACAAAATGCCTTGGCTCTTCCCACATAACTTTTCTGGCTGACTTGTTCTCCTGATGAATAATATTCGTTAAGCAGCTATAAGTTTATAGGTTGAATGTAGTCTGAGACCCACACTGTACCCACATTGTGGCTTTCCTGTATAAATTACCCCTGACAATAGGTCTGTGGCCAAAACACTGAAGACCACTCCTGAAAATTCAAGGCTATTCTTCTCTCTTTTTTTCTAAGAAAAATTTTGAACTTCTTTTGGTTTGTGACTTCCTTTCTCAATGTTGTGAGCCATTAAACTTGGTGCATTTGACATCAAACAGGGCAGGATTATATTTTACTTATTTCAATTTAAATATGAAATTCTGCTAAAGGCCATGTTCCAAAGCCTAGATTTCAAGCTGCTTGTTTGCCATGAATTTAACATTTCCATGAGCTTTTAAAAGTCCTCATTCTAGTGAACTGCAAATGTATTGGAGGAAGGAGGTCATTGTTGTGCTGTAGCACAGTAGGTGCCATTCCTAAATCTGTTTTTGTCACAGCCTCCTGGATGCCACTACATAGCCTTCCTTCTTCTGCAGCATCATTCAATAAATCCCATTTTGCATAAGTCAACTTTCACTCAGCTCTATAATTGTTTTTTTAATAGTCTTTCTGTCACCTTGGTTGTTTATGTTTTTCAATTTAAGACATAGTCTCACTTAGGAGTTCTGGCCAGCCTACTCACTATGTAGGTTAGCCTGTCTTTGAATACATGGCCATTCTCCTGTTTCAGTCTCTTCATCACTAGGGAAAAGAGGTGGGCATTATAACACATGGCAGTTGTCTTTTTTCTCTTTTCCTTTTCACTATTATTCTTTCATTTCAGTGGCAATGTCATTTAATCCTGTTGTTTGCTTGTGTCAGTAAAGGTTTCTGCAGCTTGAGTTGAGTTTGTGAACAACAATATAGGAAGACAAGCAAACCAACTGAGAAATGTGGAATTTCATTAGCTGGTCTCAGGACCACTTGTATAAAAAACCCCTATCCCCATTTCAGGATCTAAAGAAGAGGCTTTGAACTGGAAAGTTACAGATATTTTAAAAGATAGAATCACAAAAAAGATCCCGTTGGAAATCATTTAGCTAGAATCTTATAATAATTTTTGGATGACAACTGTATTCTGCTTCTTTTGTTGAGCAGGTTAATTTTTTTCTTTGGGTACAGCTCATTTTGCTTTTCTCCTGGGTCTTCTACCCTGAGTGATTTTTCCATTTTCTGGGTGAAATACAGGGCACAAGTTAAATGCAAAGCTCAAGGTGGCATCTATTATGCCAATCTACAACACAGCTAAGTTACAAGCCTCAATATTTTCTAGGGTAAAACCACACATATCTATAATCCCAGCACTCAAGAGGCTGATGCAGGATGGCTGCTTTGAGCTTAGGGCAATTCTGCACTCCATAAAGTGTTCAAATCTAGCTGATGTACGTAGAGAAAACCTGTCTCAATAAAACAAACTAAACTAAACAAATAAAACCCACATAACAGCTGAATGGAGACTGATTTCTTAAAATCTTAATTCCAAATCTTGGGGATTAATTGCTTGTACATACACATATTTTGAGACAGTAAATTTGATGCCATACTGCAACTCACAGCTAATGTAACAGCCAAATAGGAGCACTGATTCTTTTGCTGAGTCACTGCAAGAGTCCCTGTGGGCTGGGTTTGGTGGCTCAAGCCTGTCATCCCAGCACTCCAGAGGCTGAGGTGGGAGGATCCTTGCGAGTTTGAGACCAGCCTGGGCTGCTAAGTGAGCTCAAGGCCAGCCTGAACTGCATAGTGAGACCCTGTCTCAAAAAAAGACAAAAAAAAAAAAAAAGAGTCGCTGTGCATTTTCTCTAATGCAGAGCTCATAGTGAGAGCCTGCAGGACCAGCATCCTTGAAGCACAGAGGCAGACAAATATCTCATCAATCACTTTGATGTAAGACTGAAAGAGTTGCCGGCCCAGATGAAACACTGTAACCAGAAAAGCCTGCAGCTAAACTCCTCCCCCACCCTGCCCCCTATGGACTTGATTGTAATTCTATATCCCCATCCTTAAGGACCTATGCGCCAATGGGATACCTGTACATCTCTGATGGCCTTTGGGGCACTGCCCTAAGCTTAGGCTATTTAGATTCCCCCACACCACGTGTCCGGGAGTGTTCGCCAGAGAGAGTTCCCCAGAGAGAGAGAGACCGCCAGATTCCAGCGGCCAGCGCCGGCCAGCGCACCAGTCTCCACTCCCCGTGTTCCCGGAGAGACCACAGCCCGGCCCCGGGCTCGGTGCAGAGATGCTGCGCCCCGGGGTCAGCGGCGGCGGGGCCCCCTCCCCGCATTCCCGGAATAAAGCCACCGCTGACCACTACTTTCACGGCCGTCCACTCCGCTCCATTCCTCCCACAGACTTCTCTCTCCTGTCCCATCTCTCAGACCTAACAAAGACCAATGATATCTCTTCAAATCTGAATTAGGCCACTGAGTCCTTTGTTCTTAATATACTTAAGCAGCATTTTGATATTTGAATTTGGTTTCACAGAACAAAGCAGAAATAACATCAAATATGGTACATAAATAATAACTCAAATGTTCATGGAAAACTGCTGTAGGTAAAAAACATATAAACAATGAAACCAGGTGCAAGCTTCAAATTATAGCTCAGTGTCAATAAGTGATCACTTTCCATTCATAAATAAGAAATATATCTTGGGAGGCTGATGCAGGAGAACTGTCGTGAGTTTGGGGCTATCATAAGTTACAGAGCTGTCTGAAATAGAGAAACCCTCACTGAGATACCGCACAGACAATGTGAAACTTGAAAAGTGACTGCATAAGACACCTTTGGTTTGCTTTAAAATGTTATAGCCATACAATATAGAAAAATTCCACAATATTCAACATTTTCTGAGGAACAAGGTTGATATCATCTATAACATACAGAAAACAGTTTCAGAGCTGGGTATTTAGCTAGCAGCATGAAAACCTAACTTGCAAGCTTGAGATCATGAGTTCGATCCTTGGTACAAAAAAAATTCAAATTTCACCTTCATGATACTGGGTCATAATTCAAGATAATCAAAACTAGATCTCAAGTGAACAACACAGAATTCATGGGTTGACAGGGATGTGGAATACTGATTCTTACCAGAGCTTGTGCTATTCACCTCAAGGAAGGTATCATAATTTAACTTTAACTTCATGCTTACCCTAAGAACTACCTGACTTTCAGTGAAGACCCTCTCTGTTGTATGTCCTGCTATTTGCACACAGTGTCCTGCCAGTCACTTCCACATCCTTTCCATGCTCATCTGATCCACCCTAAGCAGAAAACCCTTCATGCCTTAACTACTGATATCCCTGCACAATTTCAATTTAGGGCATCTCTTTACACGAATTAGTAAAGTCCATTACAGAGCATTTCCATATTTAAACAATGTATATGATCATCCACGCTATTAAATCACCTCTTCATTCAGAGATGACACCCATATTCCTTTCCATTCAGAAGGAAATCACGTGTATATGTTCATGCAAATGACTAAATTTAGGCATTTTTCAAAGAGAATTTAACAGGCAGCCCTTTCTGGAATTTATCCTTAGCAAGCACACTTCACCCTGGCCTTGATGACACTTTTATATCTGCTTCATTTTTCTCAAAATTCAAACCTCTATGGATGTTCTCACAAACATAGTCTATGAGTACATGTGTCACATAAAGAATGCTCAGAAATTCTTTGCACTGTTATTTATCATACACAGGAGTTCACCAGGTGTTTGGAAAGCCTTCCTCCACTGAAGTATATCAGTACACATCTCTGAATTCTCATAATCTTTGCCAACACCTGTCATGGGGTTGGAAATGTGAGAACATAGTATAAATTTAGGTGATCACAAAATACATAAATGCATAAGTTTAAGGAGAGCAGTTGTGGCTACGAGGTCCTGCAGCACAGACAATTATAAACTTCAGATCTGTTGCTGACAGGAATGAGAGCAGAGACCTGGCTTATTACAGCTGCACCCAGCTTGAAAACACATCGCAATCAGGGTCTCCTCATGCCCCGTCCTGGGCCCAGACTTGGAGGAGCAAGGGCAGCAGGCGACTTCAAAAATGGCCTTGTGGCCTGGTTGTATCACAGTGGTGACAGCGTTCTAGAGACCCAGAACTGTCCTGGCCCCAGTGAGACGTAAAAGGGTCAGAGGATGACTCACTGCTAGCACTAGAGCACCTCAGGGTCTGAGGCTAAGCACACAGGCTCTAGACAGCACAGCTGCTTCTCACCACTTTTTTTTTCTTTTTTGTTTCTGTCTTTCTTTTTTCTTTTTTCTTTTTTTTTTTTTTTGGTATTTTTCCTTTTTATTGGTACCGGGGATTGAACTCATGACTGCCTGCTTTTATGGCAGGCACTTATGCAGCTGAGCTAAACCGCAGCCCCTTCAAACCACTTCTAACTGGTCTAAACTGGATTCCACCCCATTTATCTGCTCCCATCCCATAACATCACCATTGCATAGTTTGGAGGTCTCCCAGGTTCTTTCTAAGCAGTCCACAGTGAATAGAAGAAAAAAATAGTGGTCTAGTAAACATCTAGCACTCCATTTTTTGCCCTGGCTTTGCAATTGACGCCATGACACCGGAAGAGACCGCCTACCTTGGCCCGCCTGATTGGACAGTTTTTACAGCCAGCCTCTTCATCACTGATTGGCTCCTGCTCTCCTGCCTTCCTTCCCCACCACGAATAATTACAGAAAAAAAAACCCACCCTGGAACTGAGGATCCCCAATGAAAGATGGTGGAGGCTCCTGGAGCTGGCTGTCTTCTGGAATGTTGACCTCAGCTCGTCTGATGGGTATTTGCACTAAAAGTCTTTACCTCAGTCCTTGTTTTATCTCCCAAAACCATTTTATTTGAAAGATAAAAAGTAAAAAAAAGTGGTCCAGGGATTTAGCTTAATCGCCTGCCTGGCAAGCTAGAGGTCCTGCATTCCATCCAACATCTGGCTACCACAAACTGTGCTGCTATAAACGTGGGTGCACATATATCAGTGTGGTATGATGATTTTTATTCTTTTGGGTAGATACCCAGAAGGAGAATAGCTGAGTTGAGTGGGACCTGTAGACCTAGTTTGTGTGGAATCTCCACACTGATTTCCACAGTGGTTGCCTTACCACCAACAATGGAGAAAGATTCCTTTTTCCCCCACAACCTCTCCAGCATTCGTTATTGCTTGATTTCTTGACAGTAGGCATTTTTTTTTCTGGGTCAAGGTGACATATCAGTGTTATTTAATTTGCAATTGTTAAATGTCGAGTGATGCAGAACATTTTATCACATATTTATTTGCTGTTTCCTATTTTTTCATCTGAGAACTGTGTATTTCACCTCAGATGCACATTTTTGGATTGGGTCTTTAAATCTGGGAAGACTGAAATTTTTTAGTTTTCCGTGCTCTCAATAGTAATACTTTGTCTGAGGAAGAGTTGGCAAATATTTTCTCCCACATTGTGGGTTGTCTTTTCACTCTGTTAGTGATTTCTCTTGCTGTTAAAAAGTTTTTCAGTAGGGTGAAATTCTCACTTAATTGTCTTTGATTTTTGCTGTTCAATCCAAGTTTTCTTCATAAAGTCATTTCTTACATCAACGTCTGCAAGAGTTTTACTTACTCTATCTTGCAGCAGATTTAATGTTTCTGTTTTAATTTAAGATCTTTGATCTATTCTGATCTTAGCTTAATACACGTTGAAAGATAATATTCATAACGTATAAAGCCAGATTTTCCAGCACCATTTATTAAAGAGGCTGCTTTTCTTCCAATGACTTTGTTTGGCACCTTTGTCAAAGATAAGATGGTTTAGTGGTCTGGGGTTGTTTCTCCATCTTCTAATTTGTTCCTTTGATCTTTGCGTCTGGTTTTGTTTGTTTTGTTTTTTTCAGTACCACATCTTTTTTTTTAATCATGATACATTTATAGTATAATTTCAAGTCAGGGATTTTGATGAACCCTATCTTTCCTTTGTTGCCCAGCATCACCTTTGCTACTCTAGGGCTCTTCTGGTTCCAGATGAATTTTTGTGTTATTCTTTGAGATATACTACAGGGTTTAGATTGGGATTGCACTGAATATGTACAATAGCTTTGGAAGTATGGTCATTTTCACTATATTGAATTTCCATACCCAAGACTATGGGATAGCTCTTCATTTTAGAATATCGTCTTCAATCTCCTTTTTGAGAGTACTGTGGTTTACAGCATAGAGATCCTTTACATCCTTTGTTAGATTGATTCCTAAGTATTTCATTTTGTTGGATGCTATTGTAAAAGTTATTGTTTCCTTGATTTCTCTTTCCATGAGTTTTTTATTCTTGTTTATGAAATCTAGTGATTGCTGAGTGTTGTCTTTGTAACCAGCTATATTACTGAATTTGCTTCTTAAACTAGAATTCTTTTGGTGGAATTTTTATGGTCTTCTAAGTAGAGTATCATGTCTTCTGCAAATAATGATAGTTTAACATTTTCATTTCTATCTTTATTCCTTTTGTTTCTTTCTCTTGTCTAATTGCTCCAGCTAGTTTCCAGGACTATATTGAATAACAGTGGAGGCAGTAGACATCCTTGTTTTGTTCCTCATTTTAGGGTGAAAGCTTTCATTTTTTGTCCAGTTAGTATGAGGTTGACTGTTGGTTTGTAATAAAAGGCTTTTATCAGATTGAGATAAAGATCATCTCTCCTGATTTTTGTAAGTTTTTTATTATGAATAGGTGATGGACTTTGTCAAAATCTTTTTCTGCATCTATTGAAATGATCAAGTGATTTTTGCTTTTGGATTTGTCAATACGGTGTATTATATGTATGGATTTATGTATGTTGAACCACGCTTGCGTCCCAGGGAATAATTCCACTTGATCATGTTGTACAATCTTCTCGATGATATTCTGCAGTCTGTTTGCCAGTATGTTATTGAGGATATTGCTTCAATTTTCACTAGGCCGAATGGTCTGTAATTCTCTTTCTTATTTGGATTGTTCTCTGGTTTTGGTATCAGGGTAATGCTTGCTTCCAGGAATGAATTGGGAAGAACAATTTCCCATTCGATTTCATTGAATTTTGAGAAATGGTGGTGTTAGGTCTTCTCTAAATTTCTTATTTATCCCTGCCATTTCATGGCTACCCCTGCTTTCTTTCAAGGATCAGTGGACTCTTTCCATAATGGGCTGCAAATATTTTCAGAATTAAGGTTCAATCCTCCAGGAATAAAAAATCCACTAATGTCAGAAAATATTCTGAGAACAGGCCAGGGCAGGACACAACAGAACAGAGAGTCGGAAGTCTGTGTTAGAG